GGGAGCCCACCGCCCTTAACCACCATGCCACTGGCTGGCCTGATCTATTTATTTTTAAGAGAGATTTTTACTATAAGGGCGTGTGCTTTCACCAGAGAGACAGAAAGTGAGAAATCATCCCCTGGGGAGATGGCCACTCTGCAATCCCTTCTCTTCCATCCTTCTCTGTCCTTCTCTTGGGATCTTGGGCATGTTCGCACACATGCCTGTGTGAATTTTAAGTCTGGGACTGGGACTTGAACCCCGGTCGACTACGTGGGAGTCCAGTGACATAACCATTATGCCATCTGCTGGTCCCAACTTTTATTTTTTTTAAACGTCCTGCTTCTGTACTCGATTATTGATTCCCTAAGGTTTACACTATTTTTTCCTCCAGGTTTTTCTCTTTGTGCTGAGCATCTTGTACACATGTTGTTGAATTAATAAATGAATCTTAGAATGTTTGAACTAGCAAAGTTTTTGGAGCAGTAATACTTCATCCTTTGAAGAATTTGATGCAAGTTAGGAATCTTCTTCCCCAAAATATATCCATCCCTGTATAGAAGATTTTGTAAATAGTTTCCACAGAGAGTCCATATATTGATTAGTTCCCATATTAAGAACTTTTGCCTTACAGCTATTGAAGTCTACTTTTTTCATCTCCTAGCTTAGAGTGTTGAGACTCAGGAAGTATCAATGTGTAAATTATTAATTGTGTGTGTGTTTTAATTTGCTATAGGGCATGTGCACTCAACCAGAGAGAGACAGAGAGAGAGAGTTAGAGTAAGGGAAAGTGAGAAAGCAACCCCCACCATCACACCCTACTAAGGGGAATGGCTACACCATATTCCATTTTCTTCTGTTCTCTCAAAGATTTTGGGCAGGGATGCATATACACCTGGCGTGTTTTTTAAATCACCTGGTCTGCGACCCGAGTCATGCAGTTCAGATCCCCATGTGGGGTCCAACTGCCTTAGCTATTAACCACCTAGCTGACCCAATTTTTTTTTCTTTTTTTTTGAAGAGGTTTTTGCTATAGAGCGTGTACGCTCGCCAGACAGGCAGAGACAGAGAGACAGAAAGCGAGAAAACACCCCCCAGGGGGTTTGGCCACACCACAATCCCTTCTCCATTCTCCTCTTGGGATCTTGGGCACGCACGCACATGCGCCTGGGATGAGTTTTAAGCCACCAGGTCCGGGACTCAAACCGCGGTCGACTACAAGGGAGTCCAGCGACATAGCCATTAGCTAACTGTTGGTCCCCCAATTGTGTGTTTGAAATGATTTTGTTTTTCTTCAGGAGGTAGTCTGTCATAGGTCACATATGCTTGCCAGAGACAGGTAAGAGACAAACAGTGAGAGGAAAGTGAGAAGTCACCCCTCTGGGGGTGGCCGCACCACAGTCCCTCTCCTCCATTCTCCTCCTGGGTTCTTGGGCACACATTTGCATGTGCCTGGTGTTATTTTCAAGCCCCCAGCACTCAAAAAGTAGTCAGTCATGTGGCAGTTCAGCACGTTAACCACCATGCCACCTGATTTTCTTTCTTTCTTTCTTTCTTTCTTTTTTTTTTTCTTTTTTTTGGAGAGGTTTTTGCTATAGGGGACAAGCAGTTGGCATAATGGCTATGTCGCTAGACTCCCATGTAGTCGACCGCGGTTTGAGTCCCCGATCCGGCAGCGTAAACTCACGCCGGGTACTTGTGTGTGCATGCCCAAGATCCCGAGAGGAGAATGGAGAAGGGATTGTGGTGTGGCCAAACCCCCTGGGGGGTGATTTCTCGCTTTCTGTCTCTCTGTCTCTATCTTTCTGGTGAGCACATGCGCCCTATAGCAAAAAAAAAAAAAACCTCTCCAGAAAAGAAAAAAAGACCTTTATGAAGCTTTTTATAAGTTTACATAAATTCTGTGACTTAGCATATTCTTTTCTAACATTAGTTAAGTTAGATTCAGTGCTTTTTTAAAGAATTATTTAATTTTAGTCATTGTCATTTTATTTATTTATTTATTTATTTATTTTTGAGGTTGACCAGAGAGACAGAGAAGGAAACTGAGAACACAAGCTGCCAGGTTTGGAACTCGACCCACAGTCAACCATGTGGGATTCCAGCTGCCCTTACACCATGACACCTGCTGGCCCCTGGATTCAGTGCTTTGGTCCTTGACCTAATTTCACCAGAAATAACCTCTACACTTTGAGAGCATGTACCTCATTTCAAATAAAGTTGTGATTTTGATAGTATACTAAATATCTAAGTGTTAAGTAAAAATAGATAGCATTTATTCTATAAATATCCCTTTCTTTTATGTTTAGAGATGGTGCTATTCTTCACTTTAAGATGTATATATGAGTAGCAAACTTCATCACCTACCACAGGGCAAATGGTCCTTTTGTTTGACTCTTTGACCTGATTGATTGAAGTCTTTCATTGTGAAATACTTGGACCCTGGCAAACAAATCAAACTGCCCTTCCCCTCTGAAAATTTTGAGGTATTCCTTTATTCAAATCAGTCTGTCTCAATTTTTCTTTTTTATGTTTGGTACAGGGCACATGAACTTGCCAGAGAGAGACAGGGAGAGGAGGGAAAGTGAGACATCACCCCTCTAGAGGGAATGGCCAAGTTGCAATCCCATCTCCATTTTCTTGGGATTTTGGACACACTTGCACAGTTGCTCCTTGTGACTTTCAGGCTGCCAGGTCCAGGACTCATACCAAGCTGCCGGATCCGGGAATCAAACCACGCAGCTGATCATAGGGTACCCAGCCACCTTAATCATCAAGCCATTGGCTGTCTCCAAATCAGTCTGATTTTATTCCTCATAGGTCCTCCCTGGTTAAGTGAAGTCTGTCTTTAGTTTTTTTACCACTTTACTGCTAACTATCATTTGATAGGCATGGTTCAGCAAATAAGTCTGTAGAGACTATCACGTAGATCAATGAAATTATGAGGAGAGGACATATAAAAACTCAAAAATAAGGACCAGCAGATGGCATAATAATTATGTTGCTAAACTCCCACGTAGTCAACTGCAGTTCAAGTCCTAGACCCTGTGGTTTAAAACTCACGCCGGGTGTGTGTGTGTGCATTGTGTGCCCAAAATCCTAAGAGGAAAATGGAAGAGAGAGAATGTGGCTTGGCCATCCTCCCAGAGGGTGATTTCTTGCTTTCTGTTCCTCTGTCTCTCCAACAAGCACACATTCGCCTATAGCAAAAAATATTTCTAATACATATATACATACATACATACATACTTAGAAATCTTAGGTGCATAAAGTCTAAATGTTCAGTTAGATTGTTTGCTTTGTGAAGTTTCTCCTATATTAGAAAGTGTATGTCCTAGTATTTTTTAGCATTTAATTGTCAGAGTCTCAAGTTTTTATTTTTCAAATATTTATTTAGAGAGATTTTTTTGCTGTAGAGTGAGTGTGCTTGCTGGAGAGACAGAAAGTGAGAAATTATCCCTCAACGGGGATGGCCACGCCATAGTCACTCCCATTCCCTTCTCAGGATTTTGGGCATGCATGCACACATGCCCGGTGTGAGTTAGAAGCCACGGGGGCCGGGACTCAAACTGCTGCTAATTCTGTGGTAGTCCAGCGACTTAACCATTACACCATCTGCTGGTCCCTAAAGTTTTTATTTAATTATTGTATTTGATCCCGTTAGTTAAACTCTGTATTAGTTCCAAGGAAATGTTTTGGTTAAGAAAAGAACCCTCAGGGTTGGCAGGTGGCATGGTGGTAGTTAAGGGCACTGGACTCCCACATGGTGGACCACAGTTGGGTCTTGGACCTGGCGGCTTGCTTTTTCACTTTCCCTCTCTTTCTCTCTCTCTGTCCCTCTCTGGTCGAATTGAAATAAATAAGTAAATAAATAAAGCAGGGTAAAATAATATCAAAAAAAGAAAAGAACCCTTATACATAACTCTTTGAGAGTGAGTTCATACCTTACTCATCTTGATATACTCAAAACATCTGTGACCGCATGTGCCACCTAGTGCTGGTACTGTACTGCCCTGGATAGGTTTATTCAGAAAACACCTTCAGTATCAGAAGCTAATGTCCATAAGGAGTTCAAAGATTTTATACATAGCCTTAAATCATGTAGTTTTTGAATAAAGCAGATTCTAGTTAGATAATCTTAATAATTTCTAGTATGTTGTTGTGTAATAATAGTGTGTTTTTTACTATTTAGATTTAATGATTTTTAAACATTTGCATTGAAAAATGACTGTAAATACTTATAGCATACTTTTTTCTTCTTTCTGATCATGAAGGCTTGGACCCTGGCAAACAAATCAAACTGGATTCCAGTGCACAGTTTGGATATTACTTTCGTGTGACCTGTAAAGAAGAAAAAGTCCTTCGTAACAATAAAAACTTCAGTACAGTAGACATCCAGAAGAATGGTGTTAAATTTACCAACAGGTTTGTATGTTTATATTATAGTTTGCTTTCTTTTTTTAAGAGAGTTTTTTTTTGCTATAGAGTGTGTGCGCTTGATGGAGAGACAGAGAATGTGAGAAATCATCCTCCAAGAGGGATGGCCATGCCACAGTCCCTTCTCCTGTATTCTCTCAGGATTTTGGATATGAACACACTCGTGCCTGGCATGAATTTTAAGTGGCCAGGTCCAGAACTGGAACTGTGGTTGATTATGGGGGAGTCCAACAATGTAACCATTACACCATCTACTGGTCCCTGTATTATAATTATGTGGATTCTTTGGTGAAATGTTACTGTTCTACAATAAGGAAGTTTTACCTTATTTACTGTTCATTGATATAAAGTGTCAGGTAAGAGTCAAGCTTTTTTTTTTTTCTTTTTTTTGGAGAGTTTTTGCTATAGGGTGCGTGCGCTCGCCAGACAGAGGGAGAGAGATAGAAAGCAAGAAATCACCCCCCAGGAGGCATGGCCACACCACAATCCCTTCTCCATTCTCCTCTCGGGATCTTGGGCACGCATGCAAACGCGACTGGCATGAGTTTAAGCCACTAGGTCTGGGACTCGATCTGCGGTCGACTACGTGGGAGTCCAGCGACATAGCCATTACACTAACTGCTGGTCCCAAGAGTCAAGCTTTTTAAGACTGTTCTATGATTTAGTTTTTATTATGTTTTGTATTGGTTTCAAAGCTAGTTCCAATTCTGGTTTAGTTACTTTTGAGTGTTTTTATATAAATAACTATGTATGTATGTATATATATGTGTGGTGTGTGTGTGTGTATAAAATTATTTATTCACTTTTATTTATTCATTCATTTATTGTAATTTAACCAGAGAGAGAGAGAGGAGGGGAAGTGGGAAAGCAAGCCACCAGATCGGGAGCTCATGGTTGGCCGTGTGGCAGTGTCCAGTGCCTTAACTACCACGCCACCTGCTGGTCCTCATGTGTTTATATTTTCTAAGAAAACTTCACTATCATTTATCAGGTTAATAGATAACAGATTCTTCTGGTCTTTCAACTGGATTTTTAAAATAGTTTATGGAAATTTCTACCCGCCTTAATGAGACCATTTATTGAATTACAGATTTTTTTTTTTTAATTGTGCTCCATGTTGAAAAAAATCTTACCAGTTTTTTCTGCCTTTTTTCTCAATCTCAGGAAGCTTCAAAAGCTGATTATTCGTAGGTGGAAAAAAAAGTAGTTTAAAAAATCTGAGGGACCAGCAGGTGGCATGGTGGTTAGGGTGCTGGACTCCCAGATGGGCAACTATGGTTTGAGTCCTGGACCTGGTAGCTTGCTTTTTCACTTTACCTCTCTCTGTCTCTCTGTCTCTTTCTGTCTCTCTCTATCTCTCTCTCTCTCTCTCACACACACACACACACACACACACACACATGCATGCACGTGTGTCCTGTCTCTCTCTGGTCAAATTAAAATAAATGAGTAAATTAATAAAGTTAAATAAAATAATTAATTTTTTAAAGAATCTGAGGTCAGCTGGTGGCACAGTAGTTAAGAGCACTGGACTTTCACACGAATGACCACGGTTTGAGTTCCAGACTGGGTCGCTTACTTTCTCACTTTCTCTCTTTCTCTCTCTCTGTCCCTCTTGTCAGATTCTAATTAACTAACTTTAAAAAATATCAGCAACTTATGGGGGGTATATTTATCTATTCTCTTTGTAAAGTGTTAGACCCTGCGTCATTTTTATTTTTTTGAGAGGGTTTTTTTTGCTATAGGGCATGCACACTCACCAGAAAGACAGACAGAGTGACAGAAAGCGAGAAATCATCCCCCAGGGAGGATGGCCAATCCCTTCTTCTCCATTCTCCTCTTGGTTTCTTGGGCGTGCACCCACACATGCCCGGTGTGTTAAGCCATTGGGTCCGGGACTCAAATCGCAGTCGACTACATGGGAGTACAGCGACCCAGCCATTACGCCAACTGCTGATCCCTGAAAGCAGCTTTTTAACATATGATTGCTTTTCACTTATTTATTTAACAATAAAAGTGTGTCTGTTATATTCAGACATTATTCTAAGTGCTTAGATACTCAGTGAGGAAAACCGTCTATTTAGTTTGTTCATCATAACAATTATGATGTAAATAGGACAGGTATGTTTCTCTCATTTTTTATCGGTGAAGCTGAGACTTCAGTTCTCTTGGGTTAGATAGCTACTATTGGTAGATACACAAACCTACATCTCTATTTCCAAATCTAGTTGTATTCTCAGACATACTGTCTCTCCTGGTGTATGTGTGTGTTGCTTATTAACTTAGATAAGATAATTTTGGGGTGTCATAATCTTCTTCAAATCACCCATGGGTTGGTTATGTATAAAAGAGATCAGACTGACTGCCCACATGATACCAAAAGGTGTGAAAAATTCTTTCACTCATTGATTTTTGTCAACAAAGTGAATGCTTGGTGTACATTCAACTCTGTTAATCATATCATTTTCCTTCTTAAAAACCTCAAATACCTTGGGTCAGTGGGCGGTGTGATTATTGGGCCACTGGACTCCCACATGGCCGACTACTCTTTGAGCCTAAACCCAGCAACTTGAAAGTCATGCCAGGCACATATGCGTACATGCCCAGAATGCTTGGAAGAAAAATGCAGAAGCCATTGTGATGTGACCATCCCCACTGGGTGGTGATTTCTCACTTTCCTTCTCTTCCGTTTCTCTCTGGCAAGTGTACTTGCCCTATAGTGAAAACCTAAAAATATATGTAATAGTAGTGAAAAGCCTCCAAGCCATGTTATCCACAATAAAATTTAAAAAAGTTTTTAATCTAAAATTTTTATTGTCACCTGCACAATTTGTTCTCTGCCCACCTTTGCTTTTATGTGTTATAATGTGTTCATTCACACAGTGGTTTTCCTTTCTTAAAATTTATTTTATTGGGACCAGCAGTTGGTGTAATGGCTATGCTGCTGAACTCCCACGTAGTCAACCGTGGTTTGAGTCTCGGACCTGGTGGCTTAAACTCATGCCGGGTGCTTGTGCATGCGTGCCCAAGATCCTGAGAGGTGAATGGAGGAGAAGAGATTGTGGTGTGGCCATCCCCCCTGTGGGGTGATTTCTCACTTTCTGTCTCCCTCTGTCTTTCTAGCAAGTGCACTCGCCCTATAGCAAAAACCTCTCCAAAATTTTATTTATCATTATTATTTTTTTTTAGTTTGCTTCAGGCTTCTTGCATTCATAGGGGGGAAGAGAGAGAAAGTGAAAGTAAGAAAGGAAGCCACCAGGTCCAGGATTTAAACTGCCATTGGCTATGTGGAAGTCTAGCACCTTCACCACACCACCTGCTGGACCCCAGTGGCTTTGCTTTTATAATGTCTGCCTCCTGCTTACTTTCTTTTTTAAAAAAGAATTATTTAACTTTATTCATTTACTTATTTTAATTTGACCAGAGATAGAGTAAGTGAGAGAGAGAGAGAGAGAGAGAGAGAAAGTGAGTAAACAAGCCATCAAGCCCGGGACTCGAACCATAGTTGGCCATGTGGGAGTCCAGTGCCCTTAATCACCGTGCCACCTGCTGGCCCCCCTCCTGGCCCCCCTCCTGCTTATTTTCTTTTAGTTCTTTTCATTCATTTCATAGTAGTCTTTGTGTTACTTGCCCATATACTGTTTTTTAGGTGTGGGACTCTAACCACATAGGAGACCAGTGATGAAACTGCTACACTATCTGCTGGTCCCACATATACTGTTCTTGAGCTATACAAATCTCCTGTGCCATTGACTAATTTCATCAAGTTTATTTTTACTGTCTTGGTTAACTGGTTCTCACCTATCTTTTTCTTATAAATCTCTTCCCTCTTTTTCTCAGTAAGATTTAGTTTGTAGGGGGCCAGGAGGTGGCAAGGTGATTAGGGCACTGTACTACCACATGGCCAACACAATTAGAGTCCTGGACCTAGCTGTTTGCTTTCTCACTTTCCCTCTCTCTTTTGTCTGTCTGTCTCTCTCAGGACAAATTATAAGTAAATATTAAGTAAATAAATAAATAAATATAAAATATGTAAATATCTATAAATTATATAAATAATCTATATATTAAATCTTTTATATAAGTAAAAGTATTAGTTTTATAAAACTAAAAGATTCCGTTTTCAGGACCAGCAGATGGCATGATTGTTACATTGCTGGACTCCCATGTAGTCAACTGTGTTTCAAGTCCCAGGCCTGGCGGCTTAAAACTCATGCTGGGCTTGTATGTGTGCATGCATACCCAAGATCCTGAAAGGAAAATGGAGAAGGGATTGCAGCATGGCCATCCCCCTTGGGAGTGATCTCTCACTTTTTGTCTGTTTCTCCAGTGAGCATATGCACCCTATAGCAAAAATCTCTGTCAAAAAAAAAAAAAAAAAAAGATTCAGTTTTCAAAGCATTTTCCTTATTTTGAAAGCTTTCAGTATGAAAATATATCATAGTAATGATAAATACCATGTCATGTGTGTATGTGTGCTTTCAAAAGGGGAGTCCCATCTATCATAAACGAAGATTCCTCTTAAATATTTTATAAAAGGTCAGAGATCAGAATTCACCACAAGGAATTGTGTGTGTGTGTGTGTGTGCGTGTGACATTATAGCAAGAATTTTGCCAGTATGCTGCTCCAAACAGCGTAAAGAACTTCAATAAGTTTAATTCCAGCTACCTTTTCCCCTAAATGAGTTGCCCGTTTTTCTGCTTGGATTTTCTTTCTTTCTTTCTTTCTTTTTTTTTTTTTTTTAAATCATTTTGACTCTTCATGATGAGATCCTCTGGATATGTTTTATGTAGTGTATATTCTGGTAAATGTTTTGATTCTCTTAATAATACTGTTATCTTGACTTGCAGTAAATTATCTTCTTTCAATGAAGAATATACCAAAAATAAAACTGAATATGAGGAAGCCCAGGATGCCATTGTTAAAGAAATTGTCAATATTTCTTCAGGTAAATTTAATAGGACCAATACATTGACTCTTACGCATATGACCTGGTTTATAATAAAAGAAAAACATCAGGTTGTTTGAAATGTTTTGTGGTGTGTATGTGTATGTGTGTGTTTAAAGAATTACTTATTTGTTTTTATTTATCGTTATAATTATTATTATATTTTAAAAATCTGACCAGAGAGAGACAATGGGAAAGTGAGAAAGCAAGCTGCCAGGTGCAGGACACAAACCATGGTTGGCCATGTGGGAGTATGGTGCCTTAACCACCACCTGCTGGCCCTGTGTGTGTGTTTTAAGCCATTATACTGGTCACTATTTAATATGTTTGGCTCCCTATGAAACAACAGAGGCTATATTATGATAGGGAATGTAACTAGAACTTGCTCTTGTACTTAGATAAGCCAGTGCAGACTAAGGAATGGGAATACCCTAATTAACAGGAATGGGCAGAAAAGCACCGAACTGTAACCATAGTTAAAGCACCAAAGGCCATAGAGCACTAATATCTTGGATTACCTACAGGTTTATGGTCTAGATTATAGAAATAAATACATTAAAAAGCAAATTAAATTGGCACCACAGTAATGCTCTTAGAATGGAGTGAATGTATGTGACAGCACAGGGTAGATTGTGATAGGTCAAGCTCGAAGGCTTTGCCTATTACCTTGCATGTACTGATTTGAACTTTATCATGCCTTTCAGAGATATCCTAAAGAACTACTTAACAAAGTAATCAAAAGTTAGCATTACCAGTCATTGGACATATGATACTATGTTCCTGATGTGAAGCAGAAGGAAGGACACAATATCACCTATGTAGTATTCTTGACAAAAATACTTAGCCTAGTTTATAAACAAAAGGGGAAAAAATCTGATTTAGATTGTAATGCATTCTCTTTAAGGTCTGAACTCTTAATCAGTGCCATGAAACAAAAAAAGAAATAGATAGGATTTTCTGTTGAACAGACATGACAGCCAAGTGCAGTGAATGGCTGTTGGTTGGATCAAGATTAAGGGTTGGGGTTGGGAAATACCTAGAGGATACAATTGGAGAAGTTTAACATGAGACAATATAGTGTTAGCATCAGATTTCTTGGATGTGTTGATGGCACGTAATTAAATAGGAGGATATTCTTGCTCTTCAGATATATATACCAAGTTATTTAGTAGTAAGGTATATTACTTTTCAAATAGCTGGTGGCAGACCAGCCCATCCCCTGGTGGTTTATAGGTCGCTGGATCCCACATGGCTGACTGTGGTTTGAGTCCCAAACCCAGCAACGTGAAAAACATGCTGGGTTGGTATGCGTGCATGCCCAAAATCCTAAAAAGAGAAGGGATTTCAGCATGGCATTGGTTGCTTTTCCACTTTCTCTCTCTGGTGAGCACACATGCCCTCTAGTAAATTATATTTTTATAAAGCTGTTTGTAGAACCAGCAGTTGGCATAGCAGTTAAGGTGCTGGACTTCCACTTGGTTGACTGTGGTTTGAGTCCCTGATCTGATGGCTTGAAACTCATGCTGGCGTGTGGGACCAAAATCACAAGAGGAGAAGGGATTATGGTGTAGCTATTCCCTCCCCCCTTGGGGTTGGGTGGTTTCTTACTTTTTCTCTGTCTCCAGGTAGCTTACATATCCTATTGCAAAAAATCTCTCTTTTGGGAGCAGTGCTTGATGTAATGGTTATGTTCCTGACTTCCACATAGTTGATTGCAGTTCAAGTCCTGGATCCGGTAGCTTAAACTTAGGCTGGGTATGTGTGTGTGTGTGTCCAAGATCCCAAGAGGAAAATGGAGAAGAAGGGATTGTGGCATGGCCATCCCCCGGGAGGTGATTTCTGGCTTTCTGTCTCTCTGTTTCTCTCTGCATCTCCAGTGAACTCGTGTGCCCCATAGCAAAAATGTCTCTCTTGCACACACAAAAAGCTGTTTGCATGTATAGTGTATAAATTGTTTTACAGTTAGAAATTTTCATAGTAGATCAGAAGGACTTATAAAACCTTGAGGGTTTTATTTTGACATGCTTTACGTGTTGCTATTGAAATGAATGGTATTGATTTGTAAAGATTACATTATTGCTTGGCAGTATCAGATGAGTGTAGCGTGATAATCTTCTAGCTGAATTATGTTTCTGGCCCTAGAGTGGGTTCTTAAGACTCTTGTAAATATGTTTTATTCTAAGTCTTCATCAAACAAACAAACAAAAAGAACCAATATTCATTAAGTACTTTGCAGGTCAGAGAGTCTAGATTTTTACATTTAAATTGAGGATTTTGTATTTGTAGTCAATCCAAAATTAACTGAAACCTCTTGGTTATAATCTACACATTATGAACTTTTAATTTAAAAATGTAATGAATCTCTTAGTCCAGCAGGGGGTGTGGAGTTTAAGGTGTCTGAATCCCACAAACAGCCTTTGCAGTTTGAGTCCTGGATCCAACAGCTTGTAAATTGGCTGGGCACGTGTATGTACATGTCCAAAATCCCAAGAGGAGAATGGAGGAAAAGAGACTATGTTGTGGGCATCCCCCTGGAGGAGGCATGACTTTCTCTTTTTCTTTCCCTGTGTGGGTGTTTCTCTCTCTGGCTAGTGCATGCACCCCATCCCAAAAACTAAAAGAAAAAAAACAATTTTATCAGGGCCGGCAGGTGACGTGGTGGTTAATGGCGCTGGATTCTCATATGGCCAACCACGATTGATGTCCCAGACCTGACGGCTTGCTCTCTCGCTTTCCCTTTCTCTGTCTCTGGTCAAATTTTAAAAATGGCATTAAATAAATAATTATTTTTTTTTTTAAAAGAAATCGGTCTATCTTTTAGGTAAAAAAAGGAATAAATTTTTTAAAAATTTATTTTATTCATGATAGCATGTATATGCACATGAGAATGAGAGAAGGATCCTTGATAGGGTCTTACTGCTCTGATCCCCTTTCCAGGTTCTCTAGCTAGTCAAGATCTTGGGCATGCTTGCATAAAAAATTCGAGAGCATTTCAAGCTGACCGGGGGACCCAAACCTGTGGCTTCCAGCACTGCAGTTCAGCTTGATACCAACTTTGCTCCCAGGATAGGCCAAGGAATAAATTTTAAAGTATGATGAAACAAAGATAATTATTTATAGTCAGCCATTTATAAATTAATTTTTATTTTCAAAGCATTTAGTACTTTTTATTGGAAACAAAGGAATTGAAAATCAGGTTTAATTAAACTCATAATTTTGTGACTTTCTAAAATGAATCACTTTTCTTTTTGGGTCCAGTGAAGCATTTTAACATGATTGATGTTCATATGCTAGTCTGTGTGACATATGGGTCTGTTTCATCAACTCATTCAACCTGTTAACATTTAGAATCCATACTGAACATTCTACCATTGTTATTATCTTTTTATTTTTATTTATTTATTTTTTTGGAGAGGTTTTTGCTATAGGGTGCGTGCCCTTGCCAGACAGACAGAGAGACAGAGAAACAGAAAGCGAGAAATCACCCCCCAGGGGGAGATGGCCATGCTGCAATCCCTTCTCCTCCATTCTTCTCTCAGGATCTTGGGCACGCACATGCACCCGGTGTGTTTTAAGCCACCGGGTCTGGGACTCGAACCTCAGTTTGTTACATGGTAGTCTAGCAACATAGCCATTACGTTAACTGCTGGTCCCCCATTGTTATTTTTCCTCATGGGTTTTGTCTAGCATGCATCAGGGTCTTTTTTAATGTACATAATAGCTTTTGGTTTGAATGCTCTAGCTATGTAGAACCTTGAAGATGTTTTAAGTGGCAATTAGGAATCTAAATTTATGCTAAAATTATCTGCATGTGCTACTGATTTAAAAGAAAAGCCAACAATCTTTTTTTTAAGTTTTTGCCGTAGGGTGCATGCACTTACTAGAGAGATAGAGAGAGAAAGTGAGAAGTCACGTCCCTGGAGGATGGCCACACCACAATTTCTTCTCCTCCTGGGCTTTTGGGCACACATGTACAACGCACTTGGAGTGATTTTTCAAGACACCAGGTCTGGGACTTAAACCATGGTTGACTATCTGGGAGTCCAGAGCCTTAATAACACCATTCCACCTGCTAGATGTCCTCCCTCCCCCATCAAGTTTTATATGTTCTCTTCACGTTTTGTTATGGCAATCTTTTCATTTATTTTAATGATTATTATTCATAGCAGAGTGTGTGCATGCCCGAGAGAGAGAGAGAGAACGAACCTACAGGGTCTTGTTACACCAGCGTCCATTTCTTCCAGTCCTCCGGCCCATTAGATCTTGGGCATTTGTATATATTTCTGGAGTGTTTAAGCTGACCAGGCCAGAGATTTAAACCATGGTCACTGTGTGGGATCCAGCTTCTGTTAAGGAATGTTTTATATTACTTATGCCATGGAGTGCCCATTCTTTTTTTTTTTTTTTTTTTTTTTTTAAAAATTTATTTTTTTTTTTTTTTTTTTTTTTTTTTAAAGAATTATTTTCCATGTAACTTTATTTGTTTATTTATTTAAGTTTGACCAGAGAGGGACAAAGTAAGAGAGAGAGAGTAAGCAAGAAAGCAAGCCTCCAGAGAAAGCAAGTGACCCAGTCCAGAACCCAGACTGTAATCAGCCATGTGGGAGTCCAGCTCCCTTAACCACCATGCCACCTTCCAGCCCCGTAACTCATTTTGTTAATTTTTCAAAAGTATATAAATTAAGAAATAAGTTTTAAATTCCCAAATAGGTGAGCTAAATTTCCTTTTAATCTTAAACTGAGAGCTTATGTCTTTTTCTATTATATGGTATTCCTGGTTACCTTTTCTGTTTTTATTTTGATACAGGCTATGTCGAACCAATGCAGACACTTAATGATGTGTTAGCTCAGCTAGATGCTGTTGTCAGCTTTGCTCATGTGTCAAATGGAGCACCTGTTCCATACGTACGACCAGTCATTTTGGAGAAAGGACAAGGAAGAATTATATTAAAAGCATCCAGACATGCTTGTGTTGAAGTTCAAGATGAAGTTGCATTTATTCCTAATGATGTACACTTTGAAAAAGATAAACAGATGTTCCACATCATTACCGGTAAAACAAACAAAAAACTTAAGTTTATGCTCTGTTTTATTTTTTCAGGCGGGTGCATAATTGTCCTGGGAGAATATATAATTTAAATTGTTGAAGAAAATGGTATTCCTTGACATTAGAAAAAGAATGTGTTCTTCATAGTAGTTGGTAATATATTCATATTTGAAGAAATATTTGGAAGGGGTAAAAGCTTCCATGAGAGACTATTATGTTCATGTGAAACTTCTGTTCCAGGGGTTCAGGACATTTAAAAATTAGCATCCTTGGGGAACCAGCAGTTAGCGTAATGGCTATGTCGCTGGACTCCCACGTAGTCGACCGCGGTTCGTGTCCCGGACCCGGTGGCTTAAAACTCACGCCGGGTGCATGTGCGTGCGTGCCCAAGATCCCTAGAGGAGAATGGAGGAGAAGGGATTGCGACGTGACCATCCCCCCTGGGGGGTGATTTCTCACTTTCTGTCTCTATGTCTCTGTCTGTCTGGCGAGCGCACGCGCCCTACAGTGAAAATCTCTCAAAAAAAAAAAAAATTAGCATCCTTTACCGATAAAGCTTACTATTGAGTCAGTCCTTTTTTGTTTGTTTGTTTTTAAAGATTTATTTATTCTATGGAACTTTTAAAAATTATTGTTTATTTTTTAAATTTGACAGGGGAGAGAGAGAGAGAAAGCTGCCAGGTCTGGGACTTGAACCATTGTTGGCCATGTGGGAGTCCCAACACCCTCAACCACCATGTCACCTGGAAGCCCAGAGCCAGTCCTTTTAATAGTAAGATTATTGAAGGTCAAAATTTGGCTACTCTAAAAACCTCAACTTAGGATAGCAGTTATTATTTTTTTTAATTTAATATTATTATTATTTTTAAATTTGACCAGGGAGAGAAAGAAAGAAAGGGGAAGTGAGAAGGCAGGGTACCAGGTCTGGAACTTGAACCACCGTTGACCATGTGGTAGTCCAGTACCTTAACCACCATGCCACCTGCTGGCCCTAGGATAGCAGTTTTATTTTATTTTATGTTATTTGTAAAGGGTTTATTTGTTTATTTATTAGAATTTTTTAATTTTATTTATTATTATTCTTCAGTTTGACCAGAGAGAGAGACGTGGAGAGGGAGGGAGTCAGAAAGTAAGCTGCCAGGCCTGGGACTTGAACCTCAGTGGACAATGTGGGAGTCCAGTGCCTTAATCATTAGGCCACCTCCGGGCCCCAAGGATAGTATTTTTTTTTTTTTTTAAGATAGATTTTTACTATAGAGCTGTGTGTTGGCCAGAGGCAAAGAGAAAGAAAGAGACAGAAAGCAAGAGCTCACCCCTCATGGGTGGTGACTCTGCTGCAGCCCCTTTTCCCTTTTCCCATATCAGATGCACGCACACACATCTGATAAGAGTTTGAAGCGACAGGGTCCAGGATTCAGATCGCAGTAGACTAAGGGGAATCTAATGACGTTACCATTACACCTGATCTGCTGGTCCCAGGATAGCAATTCTTTTAAGAATGTATTGTGAAACTTAGAAAAAATTGCATTATGTACAGCCTGGTATAGCATGTTTTGAGTGATCTTAACTGTATTCTAGAGAATAAAATAGGAATCTTTGGGTAAATTTATTTCAGAAACAGTGATTGTTACTGTTTCCCCAAATTGTTTTCTAATTGTATAATCTATCCCCAATAAATAAATTATACATTTTCCTTAAATTACACATTTTCCAAGAGAAGGGCCATGTCTTAGGGCTTTAAGGTAGCATTTAAGTGATTTGACCAGACTAATGCATTCACTAATAGCCCCATTAATGAGTAACCATTGCGTTAATGAATCAATTAGGCTTGTACTGCTATTCTGGGAGTTACTAAATTAGCCTGTAGTCAACGCTGTGAACCATGGAAAAAGGTACGTATGCTCTTTCTAGCCCATAGTCAGTTCATAAAGGTATATTTTTCATGGGTATTGATGAAAGGCCCAGTGTGATTTATCTGACGAAATAAAGATAACTGCTTCAAGGGGCAGAATAGGGAGTAACCTTTGTGAGCATCTTTGGGTGGCCTTTCATTCTGCTTCTGAGATGTATGCTACATCTGTTTGACCTAGTTTTAACTATCACTGTATAGTTTAGGGCTAACAGTTCATTTATTATTATTAGAAAGAAGTTAAAAATCTAATGGTTTGTTACAACTTGTTTTATAGGCCCCAATATGGGAGGTAAATCAACATATATTCGTCAGACTGGTGTGATTGTACTCATGGCCCAAATTGGGTGTTTTGTGCCCTGTGAGTCAGCGGAAGTATCCATTGTGGACTGCATCTTGGCTCGGGTAGGGGCTGGTGACAGTCAGTTAAAAGGAGTATCCACGTTCATGGCTGAAATGTTGGAAACTGCTTCTATCCTCAGGTAAATGCATGTCCCAGTCCCCTGAAGACAGAAATGTTATGTCCTAATACTGTGAAATGTGCATTTACAGATTGATCTGTAAAATCTGAGGACATTTATATTAGTTTAATAGTTATTTTCCTGTGAACTTGATGTACTTAATTATATTAAAAAGGTGATCAGTGATGGTTGGGGAAAACTTCTGTGATTTATCTTTTTATTTATTTTTTAATAAGATAAAATCTTTTTATGTTGCCCAACTCACAGTCCTTCTGCTCAGCCTCTTGAGTAGCTGGGATTATAGGCATGCACCACCTTGCTTGATCTTTCTTGAATTTTTATTTATTTATATATTTTTTTAGATTTTTTTTTTTTTTTTTTTCATAGAGTATACACAATTGCCAGAGAGAGACACAGAGAGAGGGAAAGTGAAAAATTCATCCCCCAGGAGGTGATACTTCTCTATCTCCTCTCGGGATCTTGGGCACGCACACACACGCGCCCGGCATGAGTTTAAGCCACTGGGTCCGGGACTCGAACTGCGGTCGACTACATGAGAGTCCAGCCAATACACTAACTGCTGGTCCCTTTCTTGAATTTTTAAAGTTGTCTCCTTAACCATCATGCCACTTGCTGGCCCCAACAACAGTAGTTTAAATCCTGCCCATCATGACTTGAAAAACATGCTGGGCACGTGTGTAAGAATTCTAACAGGATGGAGAAATGGGGAAGAAGTGATTATGGTGCAACCATGCTCCTTTGGGGGGTGCTTTTTTTCTCTCTCTGTCTCTCTGATGAGAGCATATGCCCAATGGCAATTAAAAATACATATTGAGTTGTTGGGTTCGTTTCCAACCGTGAATAAAGCATTAAAACAGAAAAAAAAAATACATATTGAGGGGCCAGCAGGTGGCGTTGTGGTTAAGCCACTGGACACTCCCACATGGCTGGCCATGGTTCGAGTCCCGTACTTGGTGGCTTGATTTCTCACTTTGCTTCTCTCCGTGTGTCTGTCTTTCTCTGGTCAAATTAAAGAAATGAATGAATAAATAAAATTAAATATATATATACTGATTTCAGTGTTTACTTCCCCTTCTATCAGTTGTTGTTATGTCTATGCCCATTTTTATTTTTCCTTTTTTTTTTTTTTAAGTTTATTTCTTCTATGAATGAGAGCTGTAGCCATCCTCAATAATGTCCCTGTGCCATGATCTCCCCCTAGCTTCAGCCAGGCCGGGATCAAGAGCATGTGCATAGCTGGCATGTTCCTAGAAATCTTTGAATATAAACTTGGAGTCTTCTCATGTGGATTAGCCTCACAGAGCATTGTGTTACCACCATGGCTACTCCTGACTAATTTTTCTATTAAGTTTTATTGACTGTTGGTTTTTTAAAATATATTAAGATAAGTAATGTGTTTGTGGTATAGTCTTCTTTTGTGTTGTCTTTATCTTTTTTTTTTTTTTTTTTTTTCTTTACCACATTTTATGTCATGGAAAATGTTCATGCGATTATGTATTACAGGTCTGCAACCAAAGATTCTTTAATAATCATAGATGAATTGGGAAGAGGAACTTCTACCTATGATGGATTTGGGTTAGCATGGGCTATATCAGATTACATTGCAACAAAGATTGGTGCTTTTTGCATGTTTGCAACTCATTTTCATGAACTTACTGCCTTGGCCAATCAGATACCAACTGTGAATAATCTACATGTTACTGCACTAACCACAGAAGAGACCTTAACTATGCTCTATCAAGTGAAAAAAGGTGAATGTCTCTGATATACGGTAAACTTAGAATATGACAGTGGGAAACAGTAATCCATAATTGCCTTATTTCTTCTAAGTTTGTATGTTTTTAAAATTTATTTATTTATTTATTTATTTTTATTAATTCACTTTACACCATCACAACACACAAATGAATTTTTCATCCAAAATACAATACACTGTGCATTGGCTCAATCAAGCACATCCACATACATGTTCTCAGCAAATAATTTTCCAATTCTTACGTCCTGCATACCTTGCCCTTTGTCTTGCCATTCCTGATCCCCCATCCCCCACCCTCTGCTATGTCCCATCTTCCTCCCCCATTGTCCCTGGCATCCATGG